TGGACAGGTCCTGCACCCACCGGGTGAGGACGTGGTGGGGGGGCGGGCACAGGGCACCCACTGACCCTGCCGCTGCCCTGGGCCCACACCAGACTCCCCCAGACCCCCCCAGGAGGCCCTGGGGAAGGTGAACTCCACCAACGCCCTCCCCAGCCAGACTGCTCCAGAGCGTGGGCTGTGCCTGTGACCTGTGTGAGGCTGCCAAAATCCTGAGCTCACCTCCAAGGATGACGTCCAAAGGACTAGAGACAGATCCCAGCCATGAATCTGACGCAGCTCTCCTGACCAAGTACGGCGGGGGGGGGGCGGCCCGCGGGGGGGGTCAGGCGACGGTCTAGAAGAATCCTGCACCATGACACCCACCACAGCTCGTTTGTCACAAAAGCCAGGGTGCCTAACCATCCGGAGGTCCGGCGACAGAACCCACTCTCTCGACTACTCATTAAATGAGCAGATAGGGAGTTCTAGCAACAAATGGTGAAAGGCTGTTTCTTTGAAACTCATCAGCCATTCCTCACGGAAAAGAATCTAATTGAGATGTGAATAAATAAAGAGTCTCAGCTGAATAAAGACTGGTTTTCAAGCCCAAAAGCAAACTTCGATTCGAGGTGCCGCAGGAAAGGCCTGCCGTTAACACAGACGCGCCCTACGGCGGTGTCATTACTCAGCCGCTCTGCGGTCCCGGCTAAGGCGACAGCCACAAAAATTGAGTAAGCAGTAAACACACTGAGAAAGCGGAGTCGAAATCATCTCCGTTCGGCGGCGGCCTGGTCGTGCACCTGAAAGTGCGAGAAGTGGAGTTGGCAAAGGTCAAGTGTTGGAACAGCAGCCTTTCCTTGCTCGTGTAGCCGTGCTGTTTGCGGCGGCCCCCAGGTCACCCCAGCCCGCCGCACCTTGCTGGCAGTCCCCGAGCCCAAGCCCGAGCCCCGCGTCTCTGCAATTTGGGAGCTGCATTCTGCAGCCTCCCAGCCCCTAGGGTGGCCCGCCGCGTCTGGTTCTGCCAGGGAGACGCTTCCGGACGACACCGCCAGAGACCGCGGAGGACGGCCAAGAGGCAGCGGGAAGCCGGCCAGCTCGCCGCCCGGAGCGGCGCCCCGGCCCTGCCACACCGGAGCGTGTCGCACTCGGCCCCCAACCCAGGCGAACGAGGCACGGAACTTTAATCCTTCTGCCACAATTTTTCCCTCTAGACCCATCTTACCGGGGGGGAAAATCCTGACGTCTTGGCCAACGTGGAGCACTGCCTCTTCTCTTTCCCCCGGGGCTGCGTCCCGTGGGGGGCAGGCTGGCCGATCCGGTCTTTGCACAGCGACCAGGGCGCCCAGGCTGTACCCAGACGGCCGTCACTCCTGTCGGCGCGGCCGCACCCTGACCGTCACCCCCAGGCCACATCACATCTTGGTGGCCTGAGGCTGTCTCCAGGTGACCCGGGCCAGCTCCAGCCGGGACCGCTCAGAGGTCCTGCCCCTCGGGAACCTGTCTCTGGGGTCCACCCCCCCTACCCTGGCTCCTTCCAGCCCCTCTGCCTTCTCAGCCCAGGGGCATCTCTGTCTCGTCTGAGGAAGATTCCTCTCTCCCTCCCTGACTTCAAAGGGGCTTCTCTGCAGACTCCTTCTCTGTGTCTTGTCCTGTCTCAGAGACACCCGTGGCCCTGTGGGTGGTGGCTCCCAGAAACACGGAGGCCGGTCATCCAGGGGCTGCTTTGGTCATCTGCCCTCCTGACACCTGAAGCCCCCAGCCATCCTGCTTTTTATTTTAGTTCTTTTAAGTTTATTTATTTTTGAAGGAGAGACACAGCGTGAGCGGGGGAGGGGCAGAGAGAGGGGGAGACACGGAATCCGAAGCAGCTCCAGGCTCCGAGCTGTCAGCACAGACCCGACACGGGGCTCGAACCCACAAACCACGAGATCACGACCCGAGCCGAAGTCGCCTGCTCAACCGACTGAGCCCCCCAGGCGCCCCCCAGCCGTCCTGCTTCAATGAAGGCCAGGTAGGGGGTGGGCACTTCTGGAAAGAACGGCACGAAGAAAATGAAAAACATCAGGTCACCACACGGAAAATGACCAGTTTGGTTTACAGCAAAGGGGGAAATCCCACTTACAACGCCCCCCAAAGCTACAAGTTGCCGAGCAGTAAAGACGCCAAAGAAGATACAAGTCGCAGAGGAAGAAAACGAAATCGCCAAGGGGCATATGGGGCGGTCGGCTGCGCGGTGAGACCTCAAACCGGGACCACGACCCCATCCCCCGCGTCACCCCCAAAACAGGCGAAATTCCAGTCACCCCTCCGAGGCCGTTCTGGGAGTGGACAAGTGAACCCTAACATTCACCTGGAAGAATAAACGGTGACAAGCAGCGACCTTCTAAAAAGAGGCGCTGCCTCAGCGGCTCTGGAACTCGCTGGGAAGCCACCAGAAGCAAAACACCCGGCGGGGCCCCGACGCGAGGCGGGTCGGACCCGCACGGACGCGGGTGCCGCGCGCTGTTTCCAAGGTGGCACTTCACGTCAACGGGGTAAAGACGGGCTCTTCAATGGGTGGCACTGAGACACAACGGCCATTTATTTCGAAGAAGTCCTGCCACATCGTGGACGAGCCCCGGGGGGCCTGGATGTCCGCAGGTAGTGGCCGTCGCTATAACAGCACCAGAATATGAGGACTGTCTTCCCAAGGTCAGGGCACAGGAGGCCCTCCTAAGATCCAGAAAGCACAACAATTGGCTTGGACCACACAGAACGTGAGGACGTGCACGCGAGGACGGCGAGGACACCAGAACGCAGGACCGTGGGAAGGACGGCACCTAACACACAAAAGGGTCCCTAAACCTGTAAGAAAACACAAGGGCCACAACACAAGGGCCACAGGTCGTGACAAACTAGTGAGACGTTCAACTTCGCAAAAGCGTTTTCCAGTGGAAATCAGGGCAAGGGTCCGCTCGGTCTCCCAGACAGACGGAAGCTCTTGGAAGAGGAGGGGCCCACGGTGAGGGCTGGGAGGAGTGGGGAGGGGACACAGCTTCCTTCCCTTCTTTGGGGGCCATCTCCTTCCACACGGATCTCTCCTGGCTCAGCCACCCGCGTCCTGAGTCCCCTAGAGAGTCACTCGGCTGCATGAGGACACGAGGACGAGGGTGGTCACGCTGGTCACACAGGGTGCTGGTGAAAGAATGGACCCCTCGCCTTGGTGAGAGGCGGTTTCGGGGGAGTACTATGCAGACCCCGAAAGCAAAAGCTCTGTGTAGATCCGGAAGGGTGTCCTTGGCCAGTTCTTCAGAAAAACGCCCCAAGGGCGCACGGGTTCACCAGCGCTGTCCACGCGCCCAGCCGGACCAAGCGCGCCCCGCAGCCGGTGGGGCTCAGCCCCACGAGGACAGCCCGTCAAGGTGGAGACCGCTCGCAGGCCTTCGGACGCGCGGGCCCAGACTTCGAGGCGGCAGCTTGGAAGCAGAGGGGAGACGCCCGAGCAGGGGCTCCAGGCCATGCTGCCCCCGGAGCCCCCGTCCACCTCGAATCACACAGCACGCTGAGAGCACTGGGAGGGGCTCCCCACTTGTGTTTTGCACACTCCCCACGCAAAGATGGCCCGAAAAGTTGGTCGGAACCCCATGTCTGGGGGGGGGGCGGCGGCCGGCCTCGTCCTCCCGATGTGTCGGCGGCCTCCACTGCTCAGTGTCCTCACCGGCACCAGCGTCCGGCATCTGAATCCTCAAGCTGCCGTCTTGCGGGTCACCCGCCCACAGGGCCCGGTCCTCATGCTCCCCAAAGCACCAGACCCACCCAGTGGGTAGCACACTTTGCTGAGTTTGGGGAGGGGCGGGGACGGGTACATTGCAGAGAAGCAGAGCAAACTTCAAACCGAGCAGGAGACAAGTCCCGGCTGTCTGCACCAGCAGGAAGTCGACACCGTCTCCAGCGACCCCTCTCCTCTCTGGCTCACCCTGGACTCCCAGATCCCTCTCCCTCGCTCACGCCAGGGGAGCCCCAGGAGGAATTCCACTGCCAGCCCTCTGTGAAAGCACGGTTCTTGCCTAGGAGTCCAGGACCCGGGAGCGACCACGGCCTGGGTCAGCCACCGGGGGAGGAGAAAGAACCGGGCAGAGGTCAGAGCCCTGAGAAAGCCCGGAGTGGCCGCCAAGCATCACGTGGTGTGCCTGGGCCATAGGGCGACCCCCGCAGACCGGCAGGTGTGGGAAGTTGGGTTGGACTCAGGGTGCAGGGGCAAAACCGCAGACCCACCGCCAGAGCAGGAAGCGCGTGGTTCGCTAAGATTCACCTACACGTCCTCCCCTGCCGCCTCCCACCCGCAGCACCCAGTCTGTCTGGGGCATCCCACACGGGGCTTCCTCGGCCCCTGGTGGGCGGGCTGGCCTCCAGGACCCTGCCCAAGGTGGCGCCCCGCTCAGATTGGGGGCAGGGGGTGTCTGCTAAGAGGCAATTCTGGGCACGACAGTGCTCCCAACAGCTCAGAGGGGAGCCGGCCCCCCAGTCTGATCACCCCAAGGCCATGCGAAAGAGCAGGAGGAGACACAGGGGCGTGTGTCCGCTGGACACGGAGGGCCGAGTGGTGTGCACCCAGACGTGAGTGCGCATGGGCTGGGGCACCCCGAGCAGGCGAGACGTAAACGTTTCAGTGCGCACCTGCGGACGCTTCGGGAGCGTGTGGCTAAGTGCCCGCGGGTGCGGGAGCAGAGCACAGCCCTCCAGACACGGGTGCGTGTTAGTGTGCGTGTTCCCACGTCTGGTATCCGCGTGCACACGCGCCTGGTTCTAAGGCCTCACCCTCGTGTCCCGGCCGTGACTCTGTCCACTCCAGCCTCCCCACAGCCGCTTCCGAGGCCCGAGGCCCCCCCAGGCAGCCCAGCACACGCACGCACGCACGCACGGACGAGCCCCCAGTCCCGGTGCCTCACGCCCTCTGCCCGCGCGTCCTCCTCCGTCGGGACTTGTCCCCACCCCTCGGCCAGCCCCACCCCCACCCCCACCCCCAGGCTCAGACCCACGTGTCTGGACCAGAAGCGACTTTATTTCTCCGCGGAAGACGCCCTCACAGCCAGGCTGTGGGGCTGGGCCTGGCTCTGCCTGCCTTTCCCTCGGAGACCTGGGGGTCCCAGCCCCCTGCCTGCACCCCCGGGGTCCGGAGACACATCCTGCCGGCTGGGACTCGGAGCTGGTGGAGAGAGAGGGAGGCCTCGAGTCTCAGGGAGGGGGGGTCAGCTGGAAGCCCTGTGGGAGGGGGAGGGCCTCAGGGCCCAGCCCAGAGGAGGGCCGGCCCCAGGCTGAGCAGCAGCCCCCCCGCCAGGGCCCAGGGGCCACCCCCCGCCCTCGGCCCCCCGTTGCACAGATCCGTCCCGCAGCAGTCCACATCGACTTGTAAGATCCCAGAGTTAATGAAGCCCATCAGATAGTCCGAGAAGAAGTGCCGCTTAACGAAGTCGCAGGACGAGGCGCACATCTTGTTCACGGAATGGTCCTTCCTGCCTGGGGCAGAGCGGGGAGAGCCTGGGGCGGGAGCCGCACCTGCGCCCTCGTCCTCCTGCCCGCACGGGACCCACCCATGCTGCCTCAACTTCACGCAGAGGGCCACTGAGAGGGCCACGGAGGGGGCCTGGGCAGGAGCGACGCCGCTCACGGTCACACAGCAAGGCAGTGTCCTACCCACAGACCCACACTCTTATCCACAGCCGGAGGGGCTCAGAGGACGCCCCCAGCCGCCCCCTGCCGGGCCCAGGTCCCGACTCACTGCTGCTGGGGTCTGTGATCCGGACGCTGGCGCACACCGTGTCGGACGGCTGGCACTGCTTCGGGGTGCAGTGGCTCGAGTTGGTGGTCAGGGTGCAGTCCTGGCACCACAGGCCGTGAGCTGCGCAGGGCACGAGGATGCGGATGAGCAGAGGAGGTGAGGCCCAAGCTGGCCCGTGTGTGCCCCACTCCCCTGGCCACCGAGGCTGCTCCCGGGAGGACCGCGCAGCTCCAGGAGGCCAAGCACCACAACCCCCTCGCCGACCAGCGGTGACCAGGCCAGACTGGCCCCCGGAGGTCAGGCCCTGGGAGAACCGCGGTGCCTTCTGGGCAATCTGCGGGGAGGCTCCCAGCTGCCGCAACTCCGGAAGCCCCTGGGCACCCTCCGTGGCCCCACAGACACGTGTGCACACATGCACGCACACACCAGCCACACACACACCTCACACTTGTGGGGCTTTCCCGCAGGCTCCTGCACGCTCCCACACCTCCCCGCTCAGTTCGGTCGGTTCCAAGCCAGGAAGGACTCGCTGGGAGGCCAGGTGGGGGCTCTGAGAAGCGATGGGGCGCACGAGGGGGCGTCCGTGCGGGACTAGCCCACGGTACAAGGGCGGGCAGGAGCCAGGAGGGCCCCGTGCGGCTGGGGCTGGGGCCAGAGCACCGTGAGTCAAAGCGACGGGCGCGAGGGCCCGGCTGGGGTCGCCGGGGTCGGGAGCGGGTGTGGACGTGACGGGCACCGTCGGAGGATGGCGGCCCCACAGCCCGGCTCTCCCGGAGACCCGGCCCAGCCCCGCGGGCCGCCCCCAGACTCACCGGGCGCAGAGCACAGCAGGGCGGCCAGCAGCACCAGGCCCAGGCCGTTCATGGCTGCAGGCGGCATGCTCCAGGCGGGCCTCGGGAAGGCGCGGGGGTTGTGGGCGGAGGTCCTCCGGGGCGCAGGCCTGGCAAGGAGACGCCTCGGTCAGGGGTCCCCGCCGCCCGCCGGACCCAAGCCCCCCCACCCCCCTCCTTTTGCGGCCCCGGAGCGCAACCTCCGCCTGGAAATCCCGGGAGGGGAGGAAGGTCCGCTAGCTCGCGAAGCCCTACCCCCAGCCCATCCCCCAGAGCGTCCACCATCACAGCATCCCCTCCGGGGAGAACAGGTCCGCTGTCTCGGGCAGGGTGACAGCTCGAAATGCCCCCAACCCGCGCCGGGCACCTGTGGGGGGGCGGGGGGAGGGTCGGGGGCAGCGCGTCTTCTCCCTGGGGAGCGGCAGGTGCGTCCGGAGAGAAAGGGCAGGACAAGGTGCGAGCAGGCCGTACCTGCCGATGGGGGAGGGGCGCGGCCATGTCCCCACCCCCACCCCTGGGCTGGGGGCCTGGGAACCCCGGGCCGAGCCCCCGCCCCTCGCCTCCAGCGCGCGCCCGGGCGCTCACCGCAGGTCGAGGCGTGGAGCGCGGGCTTCGGGTCCGGGGCGCACTCACATCCCTGGGGGGGCTCGCGGCTCCGGGGCTCCGGGAGGCGCGGGGAGCGGTGCCCTTCGGTCTCCCTGCGGACCGGAACCCGGGCGCAGCCTTGTCTTTCGGGGAACGCAGCCGCAGACGCGGACCCCGCGCGAGGGGCGGAGCGGAGCCGGGGCGGGG